TGCTCAGCAAGGTTTTTCTATCTGGAGCGTTCTGACTACTTCTAGCTTCTGTACCAGTTTCCACATAGATCTGAAGTATCAAAGGAAAACTACTGACTGGGGAGGAATTGGTGAAAGCACAACAGACAACACAGGGCACACAAATTCCCCACTGTATACTTAGCTGAACTACTCATTCAACTCAGTGAACACTCATTCAACACAATATGGTTTAGTAGCTTGTGGTACTAATAGGAATGGGAGGGTGGTTGGATTAGATGATCTTGCAGGTCGTTTCCAACCTTACGATTCTGTGATTCTGTGATCTCATCTGCAGTTGTTGATTAGCATTAAAGTGTCTGGGAGACACTTTCCCAGTGTTGGCCAACAATTTCCTGCATTCTAGAGTTTGATTTTGCCCTGCAAAACCCATCCAAGAATTTCTGCCACGTCGGTGCCCCGAATGACTCAGCCTCCCATAGGAAAAGGAAGCAGATCAGGGAGTTTTAGGAAGGAAGGGAGCTGACTGTACACAGAGCTAGGAACAGTTAACTGCATTAGAGCTACAGGAAAAGCAGAAAACGTGGGGATTTGGGCGGAGAAATAGGAATGTGCACAATAAAAACACAAGCAATGATATGCATGGAAGAAAAAGTGGAAGAATACGTGGATTAACTCAAATGGAAAGAAAAGAAAACTGAGTACTGGAGAGAATAGAAAATACGTGCATCCCTGTACAGAGCAGGCAGGAGCATGAGGAGAATCTGGGACATGGAGAAGAGGAGAGAGAAGGCACAAGGAAGATCTGGAATAAGAAGATATGAAGCCAGTAGTGCTACAAGAAAGAAGAAAACAATCACAGAATCACAGAACCACAGAATCACAGAACCACAGAATCACAGAACCACAGAATCACAGAACCACAGAATCACAGAACCACAGAACCACAGGGGTTGGAAGGGACCTCCCACAACCATCGAGTCCAACTCCCCTGTCAAAGCAGGTTCCCTACCCTGGGTAACGAGTTCAACTCATTCAGTTTACAGAAATTAAGAGAGAAGTTATTAAATGATCTTTAAAAGATATTCCAGACGTGAACATGCATTTTTGCAGATTATAAACTGAAGGGCTTGCACCTGTACCTAGAAGGTCCAGATTCTCACCTGTAAGTGGCAAGAGCACAGAAGAAAATTGCCAGAGGACACCAAAAGCAGTTGTTTGGAATGACACTACCATCTGGTGGCCGAAGAAAACGCAGTGGAGTCCAACAGACCGCTAAGGCTTGTTTGAAAGCAGGCTGTAGATACATAAGGATCTATAAGTAGTGGGGGAACAGCACCACAGATTACAGAAGTGAGAGAGTGTAGGAAAGTGACAACAGACAACACAGCTCGTTGCAGCAGTGACATCACAGAATCAGAGAATCACAGAATGGCCAGGTTTGGAAGGGACCTCAAGGATCACGAAGCTTCAACCCCCTGCCACATGCAGGGCCACCAACCTCCACATTTCATACCAGCCCAGGCTGCCCAGGGCCCCATCCAACCTGGCCTTGAACACCTCCAGGGACGGGGCATCCACAGCCTCTCTGGGCAGCTGTTCCTGCACCTCACCACTCTCTCAGTAAAGAAGCTGGAATTAACACAGTGACTACTGCTGTTGCACATAAAGCTATAGAAACCCAAGTGTCATTAATCCTGCACAGAACTTCTCACAGAAGCGTGTCTGAAGCATAAGGAAAGAGGCATTTCAAAGCTGCAGGGGGATGTTTTGATACAGGCTGTGAAAGTACATGATTTTCAGATGCTGATATTGCTCAGTATTTGTAGCCCAGTCGCTTTTTAAGCCTTGAGAATTAATTCCTTCCATTATTGCTTTTTAGAAGTGAGTTCCTGTCTCCTAAAGCTGCAGCTGCCACTTACAAAACAATCACTTTATTCTACTGACCCTCTATTCTAATATAGCACTGCTTCATTTCTTCCAAAATCTTGGATATCACTGTTTTTTTTTTCCTCTACTACCATTGTAGAACACAGAAAACCACCACTGCAAAAAGCAATTGCTTTTTCACAAAAGTGCTTCAGGACTTCTCAAAGACTTATCGCAGTTGTTATGTCTCCAGCCTTGCCTCACATTTGTTGACGTCTGATCTTGTAGAAACAATAAAAGCCAAACATTAACCACTCCGCCACTTATTCCTTTCCCTTCTTTACATTATCACTGTTCAACTGTTGTGGAGATTTTTGCCCCTGTGGTTTAAAACATCCCCATTTCTCAAAGCCAAATGATCACCTTGGAAGGTGATCTAAATTCTTCTCTATCCAAACCTCTTAAGGTGAGATGTCTCAACAATCCTACATTTCAGAAAACAAGAGTTTGTCATGCAATACCCCACATGAGAAACGATTCTGTATTTTGCAACACTGGCCTTTATGGCAGACCGACCTTCAACTAAAAGGAAGGGTTTGCTTTAGCTGCTTGGAAGCCACGTGTCTGTGTTCTGCTTTCCTGCAATAATTACATTGTGCAGATCTCGGTCAAAAGTGAGGTGTGGTGAGAGTCCATCTTTGGTGTCGCCTTGTGGTAAGAATACTGAATCATGAAAATACTCCACACCCACCTCTCTTTGGAGGTCATCTTTTGCGTCTGAAGGAAGCTTCAAAGATCATCTGGTCCAACTCCCCCGCGGATGAACAGCGACATCTACAGTTAGATCAGAGTGCTCAGAGCCCGGTCCTGTCTGGCTATGAATACCTCCAAGGAGGGGGCATACACCACTTTCTGAGCCAACAGTTCCAGTACATCACCAATCTTACTGTAAAAAACCCTTTCCCTTACATCCAATCTAAATCTCCCCTCTTTTAATTTGAAACCACTTCCCCTTGCCCTATCACAACAGATCCTGTTAAAGAGTCTTCCTTCTTTCTTACAGCCCCCCTTCATATACCGAAAGGCTGCTATCAGGTCATCCCGCAGCCTTCTCTTTCCAGGCTGCACAGCCCCAACTCTCTCAGCCTGTCCTCGTAGGAGCTGCCATCCACCAGCACTCCCAGGTCATTTCCAGCAGAGCTGTGCTCCATCCTTACATCCCCCAGCTTGTACTGATACTAGAGGTTGCCTTGACCTAGATACAGACCTTATACTTGGCTTTGTTAAACCTCACGAGGTTCTCCTGATGCCACTGCTCTCCCTGTATGTCATCCCATCCCCCATACACGTCAACTGCACCACACAGCTTGGGGTCATCTGCAAACTTGAGGTCCATTTAAAGCACTTCTACTCTTTCCACACTGCAAAAAGGTCCTTGTCATTAAAAGCAAACAGCATCTGACATTTGGGCATTTGAGTCCCTTTGGCTTCCAGGAGATCACACTAAAACCTTAAGAATACTTCTTCTAGGTACAAGAGCCCAAAAAAAGAAACTTCTGGGATTATTTTCTTCTCTTGTAAGGATATAAGGACTAAATCTGAAGCGGAAACAAAGTAAATGAGTAATTCACAGAAGCTCAGCCTACACACCCCGCATAGAGCTGGAGCTGGCCTTGATGATCCCTATGGGTACCTCCCAACAGAATCACAGAATCACAGAATGGCCAGGGTTGGAAGGGACCTCAAGGGTCACGAATCTCCAACCCCCCTGCCACCAACAGGGCCACCAACCTCCATGTTAAATGCTAAACCAGGCTGCCCAGGGACCCATCCAACCTGGCCTTGAACACCTCCAAGGACGGGGCATCCACAACCTCTCTGGCCAGCCTGTTCCAGTACCTCACCACTCTCTGGGTAAAGAACTTCCCCCTGATGTCCAACCTAAATCTCCCCTCCCTCAACTTAAAACCATTTCCCCTCGTCCTACACGTATCAACCCTTTCAAAGAGTTGATTCCCCTCCCCTCTGTAGGCTCCCTTTAGGTGTTGAAAGGCTGCAATGAGGTCACCCCGCAGCCTTCTTTCCTCCAGGCTGAACAAGCCCAACTCCCTCAGCCTGTCCTCATAGGGGAGGTGCTCCAGTCCCCTGATCATCCTAGTGGCCCTCCTCAGGACCCTCTCCAACAGCTCCCTGTCTTTCTTGTGCTGCGGGCTCCACACTTGGACGCAGTATTCCAGATGGGGCCTCACAAGAGCTGAGTAGAGGGGGACAATCACCTCCCTGTCCCTGCTGGCCACCCCTCTTTTGATGGACCCAAGGATACCATTTGCCCTCTGAGCTGCAAGAGCTCACTGCTGGCTATATTAAGTTTTTCATCTATCAGGACCCCCAGGTCCTTCTCCACAGGGCTGCTTTCAAGGACCACTCCTTCCAGCCTGTATGGATGCCTGGGATTCCTCTGGCCCAAGTGCAAAACTTTGCACTTTGCCATGTTGAACCTCATCAGGTTCACCTGGGCCCACCTTTCTAGCCTCTCGAGGTCCCTCTGAATGGCATCCCTTCCTTCAACCGTGTCGACCGCACCGCTCAGCTTGATGTCATCAGCGAACTTGCTGGGGGTGCAATCGATTCCTACATTGATGTCATTGATAAAGATGTTGAAAAGCACCGGTCCCAAGACAGAGCCCTGGGGGACGCCGCTCGTTACTGGCCTCCACCTGGACATAGAGCCATTGATGACTACCCTCTGTCTGCAGCCTTTCAACCAGTTTCTTATTCATCGAGTGGTCCACCCATCAAATCCACATCCCTTCAGTTTGGAGATAAGGATGAGGTGGGGGACCATGTCAAAGGCCTTGCTCAGGTCCAGGTAAATGACATCGGTCACCTTTCCCTCATCCACCAGTGCCGTCACTCCATCATAGAAGGCCACCAGATTGGTCAAGCATGACCTTCCTCTGATGAAGCCGTGCTGTCACAGATGACACGCCCATCCCTCATGTGGTTGAGCATGTCATCCAGGATGATCTGTTCCACGATCCTCCCAGGCACAGAGGTGAGATTCAGCGGCCTGTAGTTCCTGGGGTCCTCCTTGCTCCCTTTCTTGTAAATGGGAGTGATGTGACCCTTCCTCCAGTCATCCGGGACCTCACCTGACAGCCATGACTGTTCAAATATGGCGGAGAGCAGCTCGGCAACCACCTCAGCCAGCTCGTTCAGCACCCTGGGATGCATGCCTGGGACACACTATGATTCCATGATTCTTCTCAGCCACAAGACGCAGGCACACAGCCTAAAGGAGGAAATCTCAACTTCTCCAGGCCACCTGAGATCCTTCGGGGCCTCCCTGATTAAAAGATCTGGAGCATGAGGACAAAAGCTATTTTTAGCGTTATTTCCATGGAGGATTGCCCCTGGACTCCTCCCGGCACCCTGTCAGGACCGTCTTCCCCCACAGGCAGCACGGAGACGGCGGGTCCAACCCACACCTGCACCTCGCACCGCGCTGCCCTCAGGGAAACACTTCTCAAAGCCTTCTCTTGGGCTCGGTCCTCAACACCCTGTCAGCTTCCCCTCACACAACCCCCCCTCCTTCACCCCGTGGACGCCAACTCGCTGCTTGATTCCACTTTTACACGCTCCCGGCAGAGCAACGCCCGAAGTTGTGCAACAGGGAGAGGCGGGCGCAGAGCCGTAAAGCCCCAGCGCTGCCACCGCTCTCACCGCTGCGCCAAAGAGCGGGAAAGCACCCTGCGCGCGCCCCCCCCACCACAAGCACCGGAGCTGACTTTGCGCATGCGCAGAACCGCCGGGGGCCGCGGCCGCCCCGCTGAGAGGAGGGCGGGCGGCGGTGAGCGCGGGGTGGGGTGTTTCCAGCCCTGCTGCGCGGTTATTCTCTGATTTATATACGGCTGCGAGAGGAATCGGCTCGTGGCTTCTTCTCTTGCAGGGGGCTTTCTCTTGTGGGGCTGTCCTCCCCTCAGTGAGGGCACCCCTCTTCCCCCGCAGACTGAAGGGAGAGACGTTCCTGAGGGGAGAGCGGTCCTCCTTCCCACGCCGCTGTGGGACGGGGATCCCCGTGCCCGCTCCCCCCTCAGGCTGAGCCGAGCTGAGGGCAGAGACCTCGCAGCTGCAAGCAGGTGGGGAAAGAAGCCGCCTCCTACCTTGTAAGGCCAAGTGTTGCTATTTTCCCTCCCTCTTTCTTCCTTTCTCCCTGCAGGCAGTGAGGCTGGAGCGGAGCGAACTCCTTTTTCCAGTCACTCAGCGAGTGGGACTGTGGCTATGGCTGCGGGCGGCATCTGGACGTCGCTGGGGCTGATGGTGGCCGTCGTGGCGGCCGTGGGCCTGTGCCGGAGTTTGGCTCTTCGCCGCCTGTACAAACACCCAGATCTTTGCTCGTTGCTCCTGGAGCTGCTGAGTACCTTCCAGGTGTGCGCCTGCACCAACGAGCTCAGCCTGCTGGGCAACACGGAGCCCAGGCCGCACACCGCCCTCACCCTCACCTACGGCTTCACCGTCCTGCACGGCTTGACGCTGCCCGGCAGCACGTGCAACCCTTGTGGCACCCTGCAGCCCCTGTGGGGCGGACGGACCTCAGTCAGGGCGAAGGGACTGAAGATCGGTGCGCAGTTCGTCGCTGCGGTGTTGGCCAGGGTCTTTATGCACTTTATCTGGAGACTGGAGATGGCGGAATCCCATTCGGGAGTGCTCACTCAGGGTTGTGGCAACCCCATGCAGACGACAGAGGTGCAGGCGTTCTGCATAGAGCTGCTGTTCTCTGTCGTTTTCCAGCTGACCATTCTGCAAGTGGAAAACATTAAACCCAGCTACAGAGTCCACGCGGTTGCTCTCCTCATCACCATGCTGGTGTTTGCAGGTTAGTCCTTTTTTCACTGTTATTGCAATCAGGAAATTTAAATATCACAGGATCAAAGGGGTTGAAGATCATTTAGTCCAATTCTCCTATTAAAGCAGGAAAGCAAGACGCAAAATTTGTTTTCTTCAATTAGGAAAAAAGAAACATCATGGAAACGGGCTTAGGGGTGCTGGTGGGTGGCAACTGGACGTGAGCCAGCACTGTGTCCTCACAGCCCAGAAAGCCAGCCAGTATCCATAGCAGTGTGGCCAGAGGGTGAGGGGATGATCCTGCCCCTCTACTCTGCGCTGATGTGGCCCCACGTGGAGTACTGCATCCAGATGTGGAGTCCTCAGTACAGGAGACACATGGAGCTGTTGGAGAGCATCCAGAGAAGGGCCATGAAAATGATGAGGACAGACTAAGAGAGCTGGGGCTGTGCAGCCAGGAGAAGAGAAGGCTGGGAGGTGACCTGATATGAAGGGGGATTGTAAGAAAGAAGGGGACAGAGCAGGTCTGTGGTGATAAGGCAAAGGGAAATGACTTCAAACTAAAAGAGGGGATATTTAGATTGGATATGAGGAAGAGGTTTTGTTATGATAGGAGTTATGAAGCACTGGCACAGGTTACCCAGAGAGGTGGCTTGTGCCCCCTTCTTGGAGACATTCAAGGTCAGGCTGGAAAGGGCTTTGAGCTGTACGTGTCCCTCCTGACCACTGCAGGGGAGTTGGACTAGATAACCTTTACTGATCTCTTCCAGCTCAAACTGTGATTCTATGAAATGGTCCTAGAAATTCTGAATTCATTTGGAGTTTATATTTAAAGTTTGGTTAGCTCCTGTGTTGTGTGTTAAGGATGAAATGAGTTGTGCATGCAAAACATGTAATCTGCAAGTGCTCTGTGAAGCTCTTAACCCTTCTTAAAATATTTCAGTGAAGGTTTGTTTCATAACTTGACATTATACAGTCTGAGGATTCCATGTGTACCACACTGCTCAGATTTTGAAGAGGCATTGCAGGACAGCAGCAGTCTGGATCAGGGAAAGATGCTGAGCGTGCAGGCCTGCAGAAGAGAGGTTCTGCATTAAAATAATGCATAATTCATATCAGTGCAGTGGTTAACTGTTAAAAAATATTAGAAGCAGGAATGGTTATTTGTAGAATGTGTGCACAGTTCAAAGTTGCAAAAAAAAAAAAAAAAATTGTTGCCTGTAGTATCATAGCACCTACAGATCTCATGTCCTTGCAGTGCTCTCTGTGTCCCTGTCCTTACTTTTGCCTCTGCGTCACCTCTCAGAGCTGGAATTGTCCCTTGCACTGCAGATCAGGGCAAGGAACTCCTGTGGAGTCAGTGGGATTCTTTGTGTTCTCCCCAGTGAGGTGCCAGAATTGTGTCACTGGTCACTTGGGACTGCATTACAGGGAGATTCAGGGAAGGAGATGCTGTGCTTTGGGGCATGGGGGGATGAGACAGAGGTGGTTATGGAGTAACTCATGCCATCTTTGGCTACAGCCTCCATAGAGGAAGTCATAGAATCACAGAATCGTTGGGTTGGAGGAGACTTCAAAGCCCAGTTTCACCTCTTGCCATGGGCTGGTTTCCCCCCACCAGTTCAGGCTGCCCAGGACCCATCCAGCCTGGCCTTTGACACCTCCAGAGATGGGGCACCCACAGCTCTCTGGACAGCAGTGCCAGGGCCTCACTGCCCTCTGAGTAAAGAATTTCCACCTTAAATCTAACCTAATTTCCCCACTTTTAGCTTAAAGCCATTCCCCATTTGTCCTGTCACTATCAGACCATGTAAAAAATGAGTCTACCTCCTGCTAATATGCTCCCTTCTAGTACTGGAGGGCTGCAATAAAGTCTCTAGCCTTTTCTTCTGCAGGCTGAACCCCCCTCTGCTCTTTCAGGCTTTCTTCACAGGACAGGTGCTCCAGCCCTTTGTGCATCTTCATGGCCCACTGTTGATGCAGCCCAGGGAACTGATGGCTTTTAGGCTGCAGGCACACACTGCTGGCTCGTGTCCATCCAGCAGGACCCTCAAATCACCTAGAAAGTGAGCCATCTATGAGAGGAGATCACTGCCTTACCTACAGATGTCTGCAGTGTTGCTGACTTCTTTGCCCAAAGGTTGAACCAATACAGTAAGATAAAAAGCACACTCAAATTTTCAGATGTATTCATGGGGAAAAAAAAAAAAAAAGGAAGCCTTGCTTGTTATGCTTAGCTCAAGTGAGCTAATATCTGAAAGATTAAAACCCTGTGGAGAATTTCATTAATTAGCAACTTGAACTACTTTCTAAACTTAGTATTTGAATGTAGAAGCAAAGTGTAACTGCGTGTTAGCACACTAAGAACAGTCCTGAAATGGTAGGTGAAAGTGGAGCCAAGGGTTTTGCTACCTCTTCTCCAGGCACAGAAAGCTGGATTCCTGATTCTTAACATTCCTTTGCTGCTGAGCAAATATTCTTGTAAAATAATACGTGCCACACAGCTTTCTCTTAGCTAGCTCATACAAAGACTTCATGCCCAGTGTTGTGGGCCAGGCTGGCATCCTCTCTTGTTTCTTGCAGAAGGCTGATTATCCAGTGCAGTCCATCTGCAGAGATTGATTTCTAGGAAATACCAGATCTGCTGTGCCCTGGATGTTTTCCTTTGCACTATTTTAAAATCTATGAAGGCTGCTGTAAAGAAAAAAGTTCTTGTTCACTGCTCCAGGCTTCCCGGGGTTTGTGTTCTTTGCCATGCACTCATGTTCAAAGGGGAACTGATAGGTGGTATCCTCCCCCTGCTGTGCTCTCCCAAACTGTGATTTGAAGCCTCTTGAAGCAATGGAGGACTTAAACCCCAGTGTTCCTACTGCTGAGGTACTGCAGGCAGCGTGGGAGCCTGCTCGTGTGTATTTCTATGATGAAGTGAGAAGCTTGCACTGTAGCAGACCTTTTCAATGGAAGGTTGGCCAGGTACACATAGGGCTCCTGAGAGGTTCTCAGACCGTTCCTCCAGCCCCTTTCCCTCTGCTCACATACACACATAGATTCCCCTGGGCACCTGCTGTCCTGCACTTCAGAAGGCTGCTGATGGCACACACCTGAGAGACATCCACAACCTGTGTGGTGCATTCAGTGTCAGCGTGCAGCTCTGCGTGGCCCCAGCCACCATCTGTCCACCTCCTCTCTCCTGCATGATGTGTTAAGTGGGCTGTGCTTCATTACAGCTCGCAGGTGCTGCTTTTTCCCTTTTCCAGGTTAGAAATAGCACACCATTTCTATGTATTTCTGTGCCAAATATGGGGCTTCGTGCTTTGCATTGACAGCTGCTGCCTCCACAGGACGGTTGTGTTCACCCCAGATCGATTCCCCAGCTCTGCTAAGGAAATATTTCCCTTCCCCAGTTGGAGGAGCAGTGCTTTGAATGAATGAGCACCTAGAAAATGAGGCCTGCAGCAGGCCAGCCTCTGGTACCCATGCTTTGAAGGACAAATTCTTAGCTGGGCTGGATTGTTAGGAAATCTGTGCCTCTTCATTAACTGTGCATAAAGAAGTGGAGTGCTTCTTTAAGAGAAATGGCTCTTTCTTGCTCACTCAGCACCAAAAGGTTAGACAGCCAGCACTGATTTAGGCAACCTGGTCCCAACATCATTTTCCCTACAAAAAAACATCAGTTATTTTAGAATATTGTTTAGAATATTGTATGAATGATGATCCACCAAGACTTCTGTTGGAAAGATGCAGTGGTTTAGCTGGGACCTCTGAAAGGTGAATTAAACTTAGGGGAAAAAAATCTCCATGCTCATGGTTTCTTTTTATACTGATTGTGCCCTGAGGACGTGTACACTGCAGTCAGGCATGAATCAGAAATGTTACAAAATGCATCTCATGCGTATTGTATCCCATTTCCATGCATGATTTATCTTCTACTGTGGGTCTAAAAGCTGTGTGGATGACTGCTGTCTGAAAAGGGACTGTAAGAAGAAATATCTCTGGCTCTATGTCAGCTTTGATTTGGATGAAGTGTTAAAGCATAGCCGTATTTTTATGGCTTATACCCAGCTAAATGATGAACATGAAGGGCTTCAGAACATGAAAGTGTCTTTTTTTTTTTCCCACAAGGGACTGAGTTAAATTGGTGGAAATAAGTAAGTGTTTGTATGTCACTGGGTAGACGTGTAAGTTACTTCAAGCATATCATGCAACTTAATCCAACAAATAACATCAGATTCTACAGTAAGTATTTTCACAGAATCACAGAATTGTAGGGGTTGGAAGGGACCTCCAGAGATCATCAAGTCCAACCCCCCTGCCAAAGCAGGTTCCCTACAGCAGGTCGCACAGGTAGGCATCCAGGCAGGTCTTGAACATCTCCAGAGAAGGAGACTCCACCACCTCCCTGGGCAG